TTCTTTCAGAATTACGGCTATACCAGTAAATATGGAAGAATGTGTCGCAAATCGTATGTTAATCCAAAGTCTATGCATCTAAACCAAACGAAATCTCAGGATAAAGATACGGATTCCTTATAAGCATCAAAAAGCAGTCTGCGTTCGAGTTCCCTTTTTGATTTTCAACAACACTGGTTTTTCTGTGGTCAATCTGCAAGATCGTCTGGAAACAAAAGAGGCCCTGACGTATTGCCAGTTCGAACTTCAGATTTTGATTGCAAATGTGTTAACTACAGAGCTGGTCCTTTAAAGGGAAGTAACTCTAATTAGTTTCATTTTGCACAACACACCATCTCAAATTCAGAGTGAAATGCCAAGTAAATACGTGAGATTGTTGCTATTTTCTTGCCAGTTAGCGATCAAATATTCCTTTAGAGAGATTTAATGCATAACATGCAGTTGTAACGGTAACACTCATTTGTGTAAAACAATGGATGTAAACAATTGAAGCGTTTAGGCCCGTCGCCATTATGTTATATTACATTTCAGTAGTAAGGCTAGTGTCTCGCGTTCTTCGTAAACATGATTCACTGGTTTAATATCCACTAAAAACCAACAGCCCTGATTTAAATCATTGGATGAATTACCGAAACAAACTGAAATAGCTCTAAAGAACAAAATCATTGAAACAAATCGGGAGATTGACGTTTATAAACAAGTCAATTTACGAATATTTATTTTTTTTGCATTTAAAACATAGAAATTGCGATGTCTTCATTTCAATAGCAGGTAAATTTCGTGACTGTATTCCGTTTCCATATATGGCAATTGGTGGTTTCACGCACGAACAAAATAAAATTTGAAGGACTGTTAACAAGTACTACAGATCAGCTACGGGGTTTTAAAGTCCGAATTGAACGATAACCCCACTTATGAATTAACTATGAAAATGGAAAAATAAAAGAAGGCTTTGAATTTTCTAAACGTGTTTTTGTGCGTATACAATGCAAGTTGAACGTACAGTGAAAAGTCATGATGATATAAAACAAAACTTTTTAGTTTTTCCCGTTTAACTAATATTTTTGCAAACAAAACCATCATTATACGACAATTAACGTTAAATGGAATTAAGGGCAAATTTATCAAATGAAAAAAAAGGTCGACGGTTTAATTGTTAATGCACACGCCCAGAACATGACAGTTTTCTAACGACATTGTTAAGTAGTGGGAGAAATCATGAGATGCGTTTTACACCATTATAGAGCTAAGACGCGTTTGCCAATATATAATTACAAAAATAGACTTGCCGATTACTTTTGTAGTGATAAACACAAAGCATCAAAAATAAAACTTTGCTTGTGTTGTTTTATGACTTGGTTAAAGAGGTGTTATTTGTGAAAATAATAAGCTACATAATGTTTAAGCATGCAGATGATTTTATTTTTCATCAATAAAGTAAAACGCCTTCAAACGTAGTGGTGGCCATGGTGTTATCTGTATTGCGTGTCAGCTCTACCGTCATAATGTCTCCGTGTTTCATTCTATAAAGAGCCGAGACAGAGGCTGTTTGGTGATGACTTCCGCTTCCAGAGGCTGCCATGTAGCGCCAATGATGTCCGTTATATTTCATACAGAACAGCATCTCATGTCCCGGGCTGACATTAGCAGACAACGTAAACAAGTACATTCCTGCCACATCACAGGTAAATTCCCCAGTCGATGGATGGTAGTCATGTCCGTTATTCATATAAATATCCTCAAACACCACATGAGGGAGATGATCGTGATGTTTTAGATTTTTTCCTACCGAAAACGCTATGTCGTGAACTGAAAAAGGGAAAAATTGAATTATTGTAAAAGTTGGAATTTTCGCGTGTGAAAATGTTCGCATTGTGACCCATTTAATTGGTTGCGGTAAGGAAATGTTAGCTTTGGAAATGGTTCTGAGATCAATATCTTATATTTATATATGATTTATTTAAGTCTGAAGAATCTCCAAGAAGAGATGAAAGAACTAGACTTGTCGTTGAAATTTTTTCTGTTTATAATATTTCTTCGTTCGTAAGGATAATTTTTCTGCTTTTACTATTTATTTAATATATAGATGAATATTCGATTTAAATGTTTTCAAACTAATATACTTAACGCAAAAATAAACGCTCGTACTTCTAAATCAAACAGTAAAAGCTTGTGTTATTCACAACTACCTGATTGTAAGTAAAGACATTGTCATATTCAAACGCAATTGCAAAGAAAATCAGTCTAGTTTCAAATGATAAGTGACAATTACATATGCAAATATAAACTTCACATTTACAATATTTCAATTGTTCGTGTTTTTTCTACACAATTATGAATGATTAAAGAAGCAAACAAAATTTCTTTCTGAGAATAGAATTTCAATAGGATAAGATTAGATGCATCAATAATAATCAGGATTATGTTATAAATTGTAGTTACATCTCTAACCAGTTTCTAAAAGAAAAACAATATTCGGATTAAGAAATGTCAATTTGATATGTTTTGAATTTTTTCGACTGTTGAACAATTTTGAAATTGAATCTAAATTCAAAGGAGAAACGTCATATGAATGACGTACATGGCCGCAGGGAACAAACCGCAACTACATATCACGGCGCAGTTCACGACGAAGACAATTGGCTTTCCTGATTTCCGTTCCCTGATTTATGCTAGCATGAGGCAATGTACAGTCATTTCACGTGACAATTATTATTCCATAAGGATTCTATTTTAGCTCACGTTTTTCATAAAAATATATCGTAATTTCGTTTAATATCCAATTCTAATAAAACTTAACATGTCGTTAAAGAATAATCAAGTGTTTCTTTTTATATATCTAACCGTGGCTCTGTTACTGTGATATCGACCAAGCGTAAATTTTATACTGTCACGTCCTTCCAATCAACAAAATGTTCAAGTTTCCGTAAGAATAGTTTTGCCAATAAGTTGCCATGGTTACATGTACCATGTAGAGTTCTGGAAAACAGATACTTATATTGATCGTCGCCAATCTCCAAACGGTAAATCTTTACAACAATCTTTTTGAAGTTTGGGATATTACTATGTTGGTGTATGTGACAAAGTCCGTATTCCCTATTATAATATGACTGGCGCTAGTTCCCGGCCCTAATTGGAGGAGCGACGTCATGTGACGAGTCTGTAAATCTGTTACATACCTCGTTCTATGACTAGAAGAGTGTTACAGACCTTG